TGAATAACCTATACATAGACCAAGACACCTTCGTTCAAACAGAACAAGGTGACACTGAATAGCTTAAAATTAGGAAAGGTGTATGGTAGGGTTGTATTCTATCACCGTATTTATTCACTCTGCACACTGAGCAAATAATCCGAGAACTTGGATTATATGAAGAACTTAACACCAAGATTGGAGGAAGACTCATTAATAACTTCTGTTATGCAAATGATAAAACCTTGCTTGCTGAAAGTGAAGAGGATTTAAAATACTTACTAATAAAGATCAAAGACCACATTGGGTTGCACCTCAATGTAAAGAAAACAAAATCCCTCACCACCTGACCAATAAATATGATAAATAGAGAAAAGACTGAAGTTGCCAAAGGCTTCATTTTACTTCATTTTCCACCATGAACACTCATGGAAGCAGCAGCAAAGAAATAAAATGATGTATTGCATTAGGCAAATCTGATACACAAGACCTCTTTAAAGTATTCAAGAGCATGACCCAAGCCATGGTATTTTCAATAGCTTCTTCATATGCGTGTGAAAGTTGAATAAGGAAGGCTGCAGAAGAATTGATGCATTTGAGTTATTGTGTTGGGTTTTGTTGTTAAGTGCCATCGAATTGGTTCCAATCCATAGTGACCCTGTATAGGGTTTCCAAGGAGCAGCAGGTAAGCTTGAACCACCGACCTTGCCGTTCAAATGGCTTTACAGTCTGGCACTTTTACCCACAGCACCACACCAGGTGTTGGAAGAGAATATTAAAAGTACTAAGGACTGCTAAAAGAACAAAAAATTGGTTTTGTAATAAGTACAGCCAGAGTGGTCCTCAGATGCCAGGATGCTAAGATTTCATCTGTTGTATTTCAGACATATTATCAGGAAAGACCCATTTCTGGAGAAGTACATCATTCTTGGTAAAGTGGAGTGTCAGAGAAAAAGAGGAAGACCCCTAATGAGATGGATTCTCACAGTGGCAGCAGCAATGGGCTCAAGTTTAACAATGATTGTGAGGACGGCTCAAGACCAGGCGGTGTTTCATTCTGTTGTGTGTAAGATTGCTGTGAGTCAGAACTAATTTGACAGTACGTAACAACTACAAATAAAGCTACTTAATTCCAGTATTAGTCAACTTTACTCACCAACCACTGAAGTCAGCGATGATGAAATTAAAGAATTCTACCAACTTCTTCAGTCTGAAATTGACCAAACATGCAATCAAGATGCATTAATAATTACTGGTGATGGGAATGTGAAGACTGGAAACAAAGAGGAAGGATCCGTAGTTGGAAATTATTACCTTGGCAATAGAAATGATGCTAACGATCACAGGATAGAATTTTGCAAGACAAATGACCTCTTTACTGCAAATACTTTTACAACAACATAAAAGGCAACTAAGGGTCTCAACAGATAGAACACAGAAAAATCAGATTGACTATATTTATATGGGAAGAGCCCATGGAGAAGCTCAGTATCATCAGCTAGATTAAGGCCAAGGGCAGACTATGGAACAGACCATCAATTTCTCCTAGGTAAATTCAAGCTGAAGCTGAAAAAAGTGAAGAAGAAATTGGTGAGAGAAAAAATATGACCTTGAATATATTCCACCTAAATCTCAAGAATAGATTTCATGCACTGGACACTAATAACCAAAAATAAGAAAAGTTGTAGAATGACATCGAGAATATCATACAATAAGAAAATAAAAGGTCATTAAAAAGACGGGGGCCAAAAAGAACAAAATGGATGTCAGAAGAGACCCTAAAATTTGTTATTAGCATCATTCTTTCTGTTAAGTGCCTTCAAGTGGGTTCTGACCCATAGTGACCCTTTTTAGGGTCTGAAGAGTAGCTAGAGGGATTGAAATGTCAACCTTTCGATTAGCAGTCCAGTGCTTATCATATCAGCACTACACCAAGACTCTGTAGAGAAGCTAAAATGCCAGAAAGAAATGAAGTATGAATCGGAACAAAGTCGACAGCACCTAATAACAAGAAGTTATCAAAATATATATGTAGTTTATGAAAGGAGCAAATGAAGCAGGGACTGTCCCTCTTAGACTTTCAGAGGTAGAGGTTCTTTTCACCTAACACCTAATATCTGAGTCTTAAGACCTGAAACTTTTGTATGAGGATGTGCACAATGTATAGCCAAAAAGCTTTACAAAGAAACCCATCTCTTTAGCCCATGAGACAGAAAAATCTTCAATCACCATTATAAAAAAAAGAATGTTAAGTATTTCATCGTTAACTCAGAGCTCCTTTGATGATCTCATTTCATCCCACTGTGACTGAGAGAAGAATTTGGAACCAAAGATAATTCAGTCCAAAAAGCAGACTGAAGATTGAGAGTTTCATTCCTGAGTGTGTAATTAGCTTACTACTGCTCTTAGGAAATACTGACTTTTTCCCCTTACCAGCAAAATAATATATCTAGCACACTATCAACAAACCAACCACCATGGCAGACAGACAGGTATTGATTTGCTTTCCCAAGGACCAAGCACTTCAATGAATCAGACTTCTGGGAAACTGTTCTTAAACACTTCATAGTTTTACAACTACACTGTGAAACTTTGGCTTGCTCTTTCTCTCTAAACCTGATGGTTTGCAATTGAGGTGTGACTCTTGTACCTGTCAAGGGTAAAATTTTTGTTTTTGTTGTTTATACTAATAAACCAAAATTATTTTCATATAATTTGTGAATAATAACAAAAGATTCATACCAGCAGTAAAAGAAATATATTTTAATATTTTTAAGTATTTCCTAAAAGCAGTAGTGAGCTAATTGCAGACCAAAGAATGAAACTCTCAACCTTCAGTCTGCTTTTTTAATATAAGCATATAGAAACACAGGTACACGGTTATAGTGTTTCTTGGTTATTTCTTCATACACAAAGACATCTTCTTATACATTGTTGTTGTTACGTGCCATCGAGTCAGTTCCGACTCATAGAGACCCTGTATACAGCTTCTAAAGAATGGCTGGTGAGTTTGAACTGCAGACCTTATGGTTCAAACTGACCCCTTGCAGTCCAGCACATTAATCCGCAGTGCCAAACCAGGACTCCTCTTCTTATACATACCATTCTGCAAATTACTTTTACCAGCCTTACATATATCATAGGCATAACTCCAGATCAATAACATCGGGCAGATTCCTTCTTGTTAGTAGCTGAATAATATACCATAGCATAGATGTAGTCCAATTTATTGAATCATTTCTCTGTGAAAGTACATTCAGGTTGCTTTCAGCTTTCTGCTTTACAAATAATACATCAACAAACTTCTTATGTAATGTAAGTTTTTATTTCAATGGAATAGATTTTCAAAAGTGGAAATCTTGAGTCAAAGAGTAGCTGTGCTATTTATTTGCAGATATAGAGCCTGATTTCCTTATATGTTTTAGTCATTTATAATTCTACTAGCAAGAAATTAGTGCATATTCTCTAAAGTAGTACCTCAAGGGTGCTTTAATTTGCATTTCCTTAATTACCCATGGGAAAGAAAGAGCTGATAATGTACTTTCAAAATCAGTCAATGAAAGCCTTATGGATCAGAACAGAGCACTGTCCAATCTGCAACTGACGGCAGGGATTGCGCAGAACTGAGCAGTACTTTTTCTCAGTTTGCATGGGGTTGCATGAGTCAGGGCTGACTCAACAGCAGCTAACAACAACCTGTGAGGTTGAATGTATTCTACATGATGCTTAATCTGCACTTGTTTTGTATTTGTTTAGCCTTTTCAGATTCCTAATATTGCCCATAGTCTATTGAGTGTTACTTTTTGTGAAAGAGCTTTGAGGGATATTAAGACTTTATCCGGCATATGGTCAATGTCTCTCAAAATCCCTCCCCCCCTCTCCCCAAGTCTCCATATGTGGTACAAATTTTCTTCCTAGTCTGCAGTTTTTTTATTTATTTGTTTATGATGTCTTTTGTCCTTCAGGTATTTTCTAATCTTCATGTAATTATAGCAAAGACTAACAGTTGTCCACCAAAATTCATTTTTCATGGCCTAGAATAAAGTCTCCAACTTTCTTGCAGTTAGATATGGCTGTAGATCTATCACCAATATAATATAAACGGGAACAATGTGTGTCTCTTCCAAGATTTATTGACATTGTTGTTAAGTGCTGTCAAGTCAGCACTGTATAGGGTTTCCAAGGAACAGTTGGTGGATTTGAATTACCAACCCGGAGGTTGATAGCCCAATGCTTATCTTACAGTCCCACACAAGGAGTTTAGGCTTTTAAAAAATACCCATGCTCCTCCATGCTTTCTCTTCCCACCTGTTCAAACCTACATGACCACAGTTTGGTCATGGCAAGGAAAATGCCCCCCAAAATAGCAAAAACACATAAATCAGCCTACGTCCAATCAAGAGATAGAAACCAGGGGGAAGTATACTAAATATTTATAAATAAGATAGCCTGTTGTTGAGGCACCATAAATAAGCACTGGACTGCGAGCCACAAGGTTGGTGGTTGGAACCAACTAGCTGCCTCTCAGAAACAGCATCACTATGAGTTGGCCAAATCAACAGCAGTTAAGAACGACAACAGTAAGCTAGCAGGGCTCAGGTGTGGCACAGTAGGATAAACCATGAACTGCTAACTACAAGGTTAGCAAATGAAACCAACTGCTCTCAAAAATCCTATACAGGCCCACTGTTGTTGTTGTCAAGTGCTGTTGAGTCGGTTCTGACCCTTAGCGACCCTATATAGGGTTTCCGAGAAGCAGCTGGTGAGCTTGAACCGCCGATCTTGCAATTCAAACAGCTTTGCAGTCTGGCGCATTAACACACAGCGCCACACCAGGACTCCATATAGGCCTACTGTGTTGGTGCTGGCTGTGTGCCGTGGAATCAGTTCCAGGTCCAGCTCCCTGCTCCCTGAAACCACCTCCAACAAGCTCCTCCTGCGTACTCCAGCAGCTCTCTCGCCAGAGTCCCAGAACTCCACTCTCTTTGTCATCCTCTATATCAATCACTGGTGTACCCACCATGTCAGACACGGCTGTGGACACCAGCTCCAAGATAATCACCAGGGACTTAAAGAAGAAGGAGGTTGTGGAGGAAACAGAAAATGGAAGAGACGCACCCGCTAATGGGAACACTAAAGAGGAAAATGGGGAACAGAAGGCTGACAATGATGTAGACGAGGAAAAGGAAGGTGAGGAGGAGAAGGAAGAAGAGGAAGAAGGTGATGGTGAAGAAGATGATGAGGATGATGATCTTGACACCAAGAAGCAGAAGACCAGCGAGGATGACCAGACAGCAAAAAAAGGGAAGTTAAATTTTAAAAGGACACCGTAATCTATTCACCCTCCACTTCCCGTCTCAGAATCTAAATGTGGTCACCTTCGAGTAGAGAGTCCCACCTGCAGATAACACGCGCTCACCACCACCCAACCAAAACCACAATGTGAGTTTGCAACAAGGGAGAAAAAAGAACCAAAACTTCAGAGGCCCTGCTTTTTTTCTTAAAAGTACTTTAAAAAGGAAAATGTGTTTGTCTTTTTTATTTACATTTTATATTTTTGTAAATATTGCTAGGCGTCAGCCATTTTTAATGATCTCGGCTGACCAAACTAGTTCTCTGTCCTAATTCTGACTTTACTTGTGGTATGACCGTGGTTCATTATAATCTCAAAGGAGAAAAAAAAAACCTACAATCTTATTCCGAGCATTCCAGTAACTTTTTTGTGTATGTACTTAGCTATACTATAAGTAGTTGTTTTGTATGAGTTGGTTAAAAAAGGCCAAAGATAAAGTTTCTTTTCCTTTTTTTTTTTTGTCTGTGAAGTTGCTGTTTATTTTGGGGGGCCTGTTTGAGTATGTGTGAAACAATGTTATCCAACAATAGACCAGAATTTTATTTTGCTGAGTTGTCCTAAAAAGAAAAAAACCCTATACAGGGTAGCTATGATTCAGAACCAACTCAATGGCACACAAAAATCACAACAAATAAAATAGCAAAGGAGACTTGGTGGCTCAGTAGCCAAAGTACTCTCCTGCTAACCAAAAGACTGGCAGTTTGAACCCACCAGTCCTTCCACAGGAGAAAGATATGGTAGCCTGTTTCTATAAAGAGTATAGCTTTGTAAGCCCTATGGGGCAGTAGTTCTATGATTCACTGTGCAGTGGCAATAGGAATAAGATGGCAGTAAATCTTACATGGTACCCCAGGGCTGCAGGATAAGACACAAGAAAAGACAAACTTAGAAGGGGGTTCCCTCTCAAAGACTGAGGCTTAGACCTTTTCTAGAAGGTATAATTCAGCCCATTACATTGCAAAGAATTTCTCTGGTTTGCCCAGCCAGAGCTGGTCTATTGTCACTGTGGGCAAGCAAGAAGCGGCACTTCAGTGTGCAGGTCAGCTGCAGGTAATCAACAACTGGGGACCTATTAACACAAGCATGAGAAGGTGGAGGCGTGGGGCACAGGTGGGCTGTGCCTTTTAAAGTAGCCTCCTGGGAGGCCATCTACAAGCCAGGATGAGGTTGCAAGTTGCCAAGCGAGCACATTGTCTAAATGCTTGTTTAGGGTAGAACTCCAGTGGATGACCTCATACTCACAACAGTGGCCCATTGTATAGCTACCAGAAATAGTAGGAGAAGCCCCTTCTTCCAAGAATGTCCCTCTAATACCCTCTACTGAGGAAGTTTTCCACCCTGCCCACTGTGTAGGAAAGCTGCCGTAAAGAATTCTGTCCAGTATTGCAGAGCAAACGTTAAAGAGTGAATATGGAGATTGGGGGCAATAAATGAATAACTAGCACAATGAGACTTGTCAGCTTGCAAAGAACATGAGTCCCTGAATGGCCACCCAGTTCACCTGACACTTGGAATGCTTCCTTCAGAAAGGTTCCCGTGAGAGAGGAATACGTTTTTCTATCCTTTGAGCCACTTAAAGAGAGAAGGCTCTTTGCAACTACAGTTTGACTTTGCCCTAACTAAATCAATTGTCAGATATGTCCATCTTTTCCTCTATGGCTTCTGTGTTTTTGCTAACTTTGATTTAAAAATTTGTAGCAGATGATTGTCTGATTGGGGAAATACTCATTAAAAGAGAACATACCTTTTAGTTTTCTTTAAGCCTAGTTGCCAATGACTTCCTGATATAGACAAGCCAGAATTATATAAGAGCCAGGAAACCACTCTAATTCCTTTTATTGTTGTTGTTGTTAAGTGCAATTGAGTTGGTTCTGATGCATAGCAACCCAGAATAGGGTTTCCGAGGAGCAGCTGGTGAGTTTGAACCACTGACCTTATGCTTTAAATCAACCTTGCAGTCCAGTGCTTATCCTACATCATCACACCAGAACTCACAGCTGTAGAAAGAGAGGGATTTCATATAAAATAATCTTAATAGTTACTAGTTCTTCTAACAGCCTGAATGACTAAACAAGTCTATACAAACATTTGCTAGTTAAGCAAGAAGCTTGAGCAGCTGGAAACAGGTAGGCATGGTTCAGTGGAAAGCTGTACACCGTCTTCCTCTAGAGATGAGGCTTTTCGGTACAGTTCAGTTCTAACATTAGAACTCTCCTGTCATGTAAAAAAGCTAATTATAGTCTCTTCACATATTCTCCATCAATCTATTTTTCTCTAGCATTATTTTCTTTTGGTAAAAAGCGAATATGAGCTTTATAAAGTCAGTCAACATTTAAATCTATGCTGTATATACAAGCTGTCTTGGCTAGCCACTGTGGGAAAACAGGAAAAACAGTCCCCAATTCAGCCCCCAAAGCACTTATGAGCTATCAGGAAATTTTAACCAACACGTAAGCAATGCACAAAGAAAGTCCAGCCTAAAGGACATACCATTAATTACTGTTCTGTGCCTTGGAGTCCTTCTAACTCACAACGATCCTATAGGACAGAGTAGAAGGGTCCCATAGGGTCACCAAGGCTATAATCTTAAAGTTCTACTCTGTCCTTTAGGATTGACCTGGTGTGGCACTGTAACATAAGCACTGGACTGCTAACCACAAAGTCGGTGGTTCATACCCACCAGCTGCTCCTGGAAAACCCTATACAGGATCACTATGAGTCAAAACTGACTAGATGGCACTTAACAACAACAATGTTTATAGGAACATATCCCTAGGTCTTTTCTCCCACTGTGTGGCTAGTGGGTTTGAACCACTGACTTTCCAGTTAGCAATAAAGTAGATAACCAAGACAGCTTGCATACACCATTTCACCATCAGTATAAAGCTTACAAAGTTTCTACTCAGCCCACTGATTACAAGAACAATGAAGAGATGAAGAAGAAATATGTTTTTCATCTTTTCCTTCCTGTACATATCAGCAGAAACCATAGTATAATGACATACTGAGGCCACCAGAAGGCAAAGCAATAGTCAGAAGTTGGTGATTACAGAAAGTTGGGTCGGGATGAATGTTACTGCTGATGCCAGTGTTTTTCACATCTAGTGGTTATATTACATTTCAGCAGCATGTGTTAAGCAATTATAGCTTAAAATCCACTAGTAAATAGCATCCTTCTTACTATTTTTTCCCCCTCGAAATTCAGGTTTAAATATTAGGTTAATACAAAATAAAATCACCTATCGTACCTTCTTCCCCATCCCCTAAATTCCTATTATTCTTTGTAAGACTATTCATTTCAAACAGTAACCACCTCTGCAGGGTCTTTTCTGGGTTCCTCTACTAGAATTAATTCATCCATCCTGAGAGCTGTCGTCAGACTTTAGACACATTTACTACATGTCTTCATCTCCTGCTGATCCGTGGTAGGCATTTTGTTTTAGCTATTTATATTTCAACTGCCTGGCATTTGTAGGTGATCAATAAAAATTTATTAAATGAATAAATTTTTCACTTTGCTATATTGCCTCCGTATTTATAATGTCATGACTTAAAAGCCTTAAAATATTTCACGAAGAGACTAATAGTGTTCCAATAAAATAGCCTGTTGTTTTGTTTTTAAAGGAATGTTAAAAGTCCTTCTGTGGAACATTCAATAGACCATGTCTGATTGGGTTATGTACTAGAAGCGTACTGCCCCCTGCTGGTGTCCTTTGAAACAGCGCATATGCTGCACCTAGAGGGCAAGGCTGACCTTTGTGTAGATAGTGGTTCTAATGCCCCTACCATCTTGGGCCCCAGAAAGCCACATGGTCATAAACTGTTTACAGAAGGCCAATAGCTTAGAATGTTAATTTTCATGTTATAGTCTGTGAAGGATAGACAGAATACCAAATAGGAAAAGAAGACTGGTAAATTTGTACATAGGCATTTTGTATTGGATGCTAAATTCCTAAGCTTTGCTCATAATAATAAGTGACGTTGTTCCTATCTTTCTAAGACTGCATCATCATACCAAATAATTATAAGACAAAAATTCTACTAAAGTTCCATGATCCTAGGGAAAGTGAAGAGCATCGTGGACCCAATCTTGGATTCGACAAAATTAAAACATTTTACTGACTTGAAAATACATTAATACTAGATTAAATTGAAACAATATGATATTCAGTATATGTATGGGACATACACATATATATGGTATGTTTCTAATTTTGTAAAAATGTATTTTATATACATACTTCTATGAGCAAATGTCAGAAATATATATTGAAATGCTAACAATTGCAATGAGTAGAGAATGACATTTTTAACTGATTTTAATTTAATGTCTGGAATCCTGGGTGTTTGGTTTGATTACATGTTCTAATGTTTCTGAAATAATCATGAATTACCTATGTAATGCAAAACGAAGACAGCAAAGTTCATAACAGTAGAAATATTAATTGATAAGACCTGAAGTCAAAATGACAACTCCCCTACCTAGAAGACTCCTGGTGTGGCACTTTAAGATCAGCACTAGACTGTGAACCACAAGGTCAGCAGTTCAAACCCACCAGCTATTCCTTGTAAACCCTATAAGGGTCACTATAAGACAGAACTGACTGGACAGCACTTAACAACAACCACCTAGTGCAAGTAAAAAATAGGCAGCTTCTGAGGCAAACATCACTAAGAAAAAACAGATCTATAGCTGTCAGTTACAAGAAGAAATATGCTGATCCCTAGAAGGCTGTGCTCTCAGGGAGCTGCTTTTCAAGGCGACACTCCGTGGGAGACCTTATAAGGCCTGGTCCAGTCCCATTTGCAATTATAAGCAAGCAGTTGCCATGGCATCAGTGCTGACTCCTGGAAACCCTATGTACATCAGAGCAGAACTGCTGTGATCCCTCGGAGTTAGATCATCAGGACTTTCTTCTGATGCACTCTGGTTGGACTTGCCTTTGGGGCCTTTCAGTTAGCAGATAAGCATGTTAACCA